GTAGGTGGTGGTGGTGGTGGTGGTGGTACGTGTCTTTTGTTGTTGTTGTTGTTGGTGTGGTGGTGGTGCTGCTGCTAGTGGTGGTGGTGGTGGTGGTGGTGGTGCTGCTGCTGCTGCTGCTGCTGCTGATGGTATTCTTCTTCTGGTGATATCTTGTCCTGCAGTGCAACTTGCTACAGTCAGCAAAGAAGGGCATGCCAAAGTTCGCACTGTCGTTTTCCGAGGATGGAGCGATCTGGACCTTTCGAGTTCTGAGGCGTCGGAGCAGAACGCCAGCGAGACTGCCTTGTATCAACCAACCAGCTTCAAGTTCATCACCGATTTGCGCTCTGAGAAGATGTCACACGGCAATATCGTCGAGGTCTGCTGGTACTTGACAGAGACTCGAGAGCAGTTCAGGATAGCAGGTAACCTTATGTACATCACCAAGGACGCCAAGGAGGAGAAGTTTGTGAATGAGAGGATTTCAACGTGGAAGACTGTCTCCGAAGCATCTCAACGGTCCTACTTCTCGCCTGCCCCTGGACAAATCGTCGATCAGACACCTCTGGTGGAGCCGGCTGCTGGGGCCCTGGGTAACCAATCTTTTCCTCCAGATTCTTTCGTGGTCGGGCTAGTCGATCCTTTCAAGATAGACTACTTGCACCTCCGCAGCCCCCAGGTGAGAAAGATTTGGACGAAGAAAGAGCAAGGAGAGTGGGAGGGGCAAAATGTCAACCCTTAGATGTTGATACTTGATTGGTATCAATGAAGTTTGATTCCTCCCCGCCTTTCTTCTTCATTCAGACATGTATGGGAGCTAATCTCTGTCTTTCACATGACCGTGACACGCTATCACAAGACATGTCAAGGTAGTCAATGGAATCGAATAGTTTACAAACCCACAACTCATCTACAACGAAACTTTCTCGGTCTGCTTGATAAGGATCTTCATGAACTGCTCCTCGTTGATCTCAAACGCGTCCTCCCCTCCCGGCTTCACCCCAGCCGCCTCGTTCATCATCTCCTGCAACGCCTCCTCCGACGCATTTTCTCCGATGAGCTCGGTAATCTCAGCAAGATTCTCCAGGGTTATGCTCCCTGCCCCCTCCATGTCGTACAGCTTGAAGGCGGTGCTCAAGAGCTCTGGAGGATCCGTCTCACCCTGCAGCCTTGCAGTCAACCCTCTGCTCCAGCGACAACAAGCGCAGCACTCACCCATTTCGCTCTGAATATCTCGACGAACTGCTGTTTCGATATCGAGCCCGTGTTCTCCTTATCGTAGTCCGACATCAGCTTCTTGACCTCGTCCTTTCTTGGTTCGAATCCCAGGGCTCGGAGTGCAACCAGCAGGTCACCAGCATCAATAGATCCTGTCAAACACCCAGAATTACTACAAATAGGAAGAGTAGAAATGTGACATATTCAACTTGCCAGGCATCTAAGAAGTTTCTCTCCTGTCCTGTCCTGCACCTCATCCCTACTCCCTTTCATCTTTTCGCTTCATCGTCTCCATCACAGTTCTGCTTCCTCGTCTATTCCCCATCTTCCCCATTCCCATCTCGTCCCGTCACACACATCTTCATTCTCCTCCACCTTCACTCATAGCATCCATCCTCCTCTCAACGAGACAGCGCATGAGCTTGCAGACCTGTTCCTTCAGTATCGAGGATGTCGAATGCTTCTTCAATCTCCTTCCTCTGCTGATCTGTCAGCGTGTCCCTCGGCGGCACCTTCGCTCGTCTCCCTTCCTCTTTTTTCGCTGCCACGGCTGCCATTTTCCCCTTCAGTTAGGACCACCCCTCGGACCCTACCCCTCCTTTTACCAATAATTACCCCATGAATATGGACCCCAAGCAATACACCCTACCCCTTCTTTCCAACTACCTACCCCACTATTTCCATGAATTCCACTATGTTTCACCCCCATATGTCATGACCCCACCCACAAATATTTGTACCCTCCCGCTCCATCACCGCGAATCCCTTCATCAGCCCATGGCATGCGCGCTGCGGCGAACGGGAACGAGGGGGAATGGCGGGGGAGGATGGAGGAGGGACGAAGAAGGAGGGCAGAAATGTACTTCTTCCTTATCCTCTCCTCCCCTTCTTTCTCCTTATCCTCTCCTCGCTTCTCGCTTCGCCTCTCCTTTCCTCTCCTCCCACCTCACCTCGCCTCTCCTTTCCTCATCTTCGTTCCTCATTATTCCCTTCCTCCTCCGCTCCTCCGCTCGCATGTTCATGTACTCCTCTTCTTCTTTAGTTGCAACGTATCCCTCGTTTCCTTCTTTTGCTTGTTTTCATCTCTGTCCATTTCAAGTCATTTATCCCCCCCACCCTCCCCTCCCCCTTCCTCATGAGTGTGTTTGTACTGGCTGTTGTACTGTAGGCTACTCAAGGGAGGGGGAGAGGCGGGATGTGAGAAAACGAATGAGAAAATTATCGATTCCAACTTGTCATTCACTCTTCATAAGAGCAGGTTGGTTGAATTCAGGAGCAGAAGGATTCAAGAATCTCAGATCGCGGATCCAAACATGTTCCCTTGACATTGAAGCTCTGCCCTAGTTCTCTCAAGCATGCCGCCACCTCCCAACAACCAGATGCCTGGTATGCCGCCTATGCCGCCTATGCCGGGCATGCCTGGTATGCCAGGTATGCCGCCTATGCACGGCATGCCGCCTATGCCTGGAATGCCTCCCATGCCCAGTCCGGAAGTGATGCAGCAGTACCTGCAGCAGGCTGGAATGCCGCCGCCAGAAGTTTTCATGCAGGTGAGGAGCGCAGACAAGTTCTGTCTTGATGAGAGCTTGTGCCGAGTTGTAACTTGTGTGCGATGCGATCCCTTACCTTCTCCTTCAACAGATGATGCGATCGGGTCAAATGCCTTTCAACCCTGCTGCTCCTCCAGGCTCGCGACCACCCAACATGCCGCCCCAAGGGCCGCACGCTACTGACAGGGGCAGTGACCAGTCTCAAGATTATTCAGCAGGACAGAAACGACCTCTGTCAGACATTTCCAATGAGCAACCTGTGCTGGTGCCGGGGACCTTGCTGGAGAACGAATCGTCCAAGATTGACATCAAGGAAGATGGGTTTTATGCTGGGCCGTACAAGCAGGAGAGAAACTTGATTTTCGACGTGGAGAAGTACATCGAGGAGAATGAGATGAAGGAGGAACTGACTGTCGGCGATCGTACTGGAAAGCCGCAGATCTGCCCGTGGTATAAGGCTCATTGCTTGTCGGTGGGGGTTAGCTGACTCCTAACTCCTCCAGGCATGCGAGGGGCGCTTGCAAGACAGGATTCAAGTGCCCGATGAGACATCAGCGAGTGAAGAGAACGGACGTGTGCAAACATTGGTTGCGAAGTCAGTGCAAGAAAGGCGATCAGTGTGAATACCTTCATCAATACGACATGACCCGCATGCCCCTCTGCCATTTCTTCGCTGACGGGCAGTGTACCAAGGACGACTGTCAGTTCTTGCACATCCGCCCTGAGGACAAGGTGGTTGAATGTCCCTGGTACGCCCGTGGCTTCTGTAAGCATGGACCGAAATGTCGCAAGAAGCACGCAAGAAAGGAGCTCTGCGGGAGCTACATGGCAGGTTTCTGCCCCAAGGGACCAGGTCTGTCGGTGCTGACTGTAAGTGAGGTGGAGACTCTGACTTGTTGCCTTCAGACTGTCCCCTGGGGCACCCCAAGTGGGACCTGCCGACGGAGCAGGTTCAGGATGGAGATAATCAGGATTCGAACGCCATCGTCACTTCGATCAGATGTCACAACTGCAACGAGATGGGTCACAAGGCTTCTCAGTGCCGATACCTCGGAAACAATGTGATGGGTCAAAGTCGTCCACCAGAGCAGGGAGAGCAGCAGCAGTTCGTTGGGAAGGTGACTGCGGTGAAGGAGGGTTTCTGCTTCATGGAGTCGAAGCCCGGCGAGAGGTTGCTGATTGTTATGGAGGAGGAGAGGAGATCTTGGATCTGTTGGGTGATGTTTACGGAGATAACGATAATAATGATGACGACGATATCGATAACGATGACGATGATGATGGTGGTGGTGGTGGTGGTGGTGGTGATGATGATGATGATGATGATGATTACGATGAAGATAATTGCGGTGACGGGGGTTGACACACTGCTAACGATCAATATGATGATTGTACTTTGATTGCCTTTGTGACTGTTGAGCAGCAACGTTTACATCCCGGCTCAAGTTGCTGATCCTCAATACATCCGCATGGGAGACATCCTCTGCGTGAAGGCTCACTGGAACCAGCGCAACAGCAACTGGCGTGCGTTCGGCGAGTGCACTAAGGACGGGAACGTCGTGCCTGCAAGGGACGGAGGAGGAGGAGGGGGAGGAGGAGGAGGAGGCGGCGGCGGCGGAGGAGGAGGAGGTTTGCATAATCTTGCTCTTGCCTTGGATGCATACTGACGGTGCCGGAGCAGGAGGAATGATGGCTGCCAGCCCCATGCAGAACGCCGCGAACCCAGGTGGACAAGGTGGGCAGAACTCCGCAAACAAACCCGGCAGCTGGATGTCGAACTACAAGACTAAGATCTGCAAGAACTGGCAGCAAGGATCTTGCGCCTACGACGCCAAGTGTACCTTCGCTCATGGCGAGGCGGAGTTGCTCCAGTACACGGGTGGAGGGCAAGCAGCCGGAGGGATGAACATGGCGAACGCGCAGAGGTTCTGGTAGGGGCGATGAGCGAGAGGAGGAGCAGAAGGGAGGAGGAGCAGCAGCAGCAGCAGAAGGGAGGAGGAGGAGGAGAAGAGCGGAAAGATGGGAGAGGGGACTGAGAGGCGAAAGGTTTCCTTCAGGGCATATCCTCCAATGAAGACCGCAAAAGTTGGGATAAGAAAAAAAATAGGAAGGCCCGGGCCGAGGGAAAGGACACACTGAAGTTTTAGCAGTTGTAATCACACTTTCTAATATCGGAACAAGGCTTCAGTGAAGACACCCTTAACGGTCCGTTTCCCTCTCTCCGCCCAGCTATGTACCAGCACATGGGTCCAGCGCTGCTGCAGCGATCTCCACCGCCCCCCCTCCTCCTTCCCTGCAGGCGATGAATGTCTGCGGATTAATTACCTGTTGAGGAGTGTAAGGGAGTTGCGCAATCATTGAAACTTGACTCACAAGTTTTCTTTCTTCCCTCTCCTACCCACTGCGATGGTTTTAGATGGAGACGGCCGCTCTCAAGACCTTGTGCCATGCGTCCATGTGGAAGGCCTGATAACAGATTTGAGATCAACGAGATATGACGAGAAAGTTGAGCAGCAGATTAGAGTTGATGCAAAGAGAGATGAAGAGAGGGAGAGGGAGAGGGAACAGAATAGGAGGGGAAATAGGGAGAGGGAGAGGAAGGAGAAGGCAGGGAGGGAGGGAGGGAGAAAATAATAGTGCTCGTGGCACTGGTGAAAAATGTTGATATGAGGACAGACATGGTAAAAGAGAAAAACGCGCAGGAGAGAAGATTGAGGATTTCCTCACCGTGAGCATGTTGTTTGCCACGTAAGTGATCATGCCGAAGTCATAGCGAACCGACCAAACCACGCAGTCCCCGAGGGAGTCGTAGTAGCATCGACCCCCAGGGGGGAGCGATGAGTACTTGCAGCCGTAGATGAGGCCATCCTGATGAGCGAGGTGAGAAGGAGAGCGGAGTACAAGGAGGGAAGAGATAGAAGGCGAGGGAGGGGGTAAACCGAGAGGGAAAGAGGAGACATCGGCTGGGAGGAAAGAGGGAGAGGATCAAAGAAGGGAGCAGGCAGTTGTGATGAATTGAGGTGATGACGATGCCAAGAAGAGAAGACGCGAAGGTTGGCAGGTCAAGAGGCGAGAGAGGAGCGAGAGAGGAAGCGCGGGAGTTGCAACACCTCTCCAAGTCGGCTGGGAAGAAATTCAAAGATAGTTCCCTTAGCATATCGCTCGTTCTGTCAAAATCCACGTCACCAACTGAAATGGGTTCAGTGCATGATCCTACCCGGTAGAAAGGCCCCTCCTGATAGACCTCGGCCTGCAATCGGAATCCAAAGATCTACACCGAATGTCTTATGAAGCGCAGGGGCAGCATGCAATAGAGGCAACACAGGACAGCGCAGGTCTTGGGAGTCTGGGAGAAAGGAGCGAGCAAGAGCGAAGGGTGAGGGGAAGGAGACAGGGAGTGGGAAGGGAGAAGGCGGATGATTGAGTGGTGAAGGAGGAGGAGAATCTCGAATCAAAGTTCACACGGAGACATCACGAGTGGAACCTCATTCATCAACCCAATGCTGGCGAAGCCACCCAAGAACACGATGTTGTTACCCGTGGACACGTAGCTGAGGCAAGGACGTTAGATGACAGCAAGACCGTGAGCACACAAGTGACAACATCAGCAAAGGCACAACTTTCAAGCTCTCCTCAGAGAGACGGAGCGTAACAGACATGTTCGAAACTCACGATCTCAAATCAGTCTTGGCGATCTCGTGGACGTCGGGGTATTCCGTGAAGGGAGGGAATATGATGACGTGGGTACTCTTGTCCCAGCACACCGCACGGACCTGCACCATGGACCCCATCAGCTGTTCTCATCCCCCGCTGCTTCAAACTCACAGGAGCTGGGCGGATCGATTCGAAGGTCATGACCTCAGTCTGCGGTACAGCAACGTGAGACAGGCTCGCGGCTGGTCAGGAGACGGAAACCTCGTAATGTCCCTTCCTTAAGACGGACTTCAGGTCCCCGATCTCTTTCCCCCTCCCGTACAGGTACGTTTCTCTTCCAGCATACAACCAGACCCTGCCGATCGTCACCGACAGTCGCACCAACAACTGTCTGGTATGCACACCTGTCTGGGTAGAAACCGAAGTCTTCACTCCTCAACTTCTTCCACACAGCCTTGAGCTCTGTTGTCTTCTGTTGAGGTGTGTACGTTGCCTGAAGAGCATATGAGCTTGTGAACTTCGCAACCTCCGACCCTCACCACCATCGCGGTCTGCTGCTCCAGTTCATTGCTGCTCTTCTCCTTGGTAATGCTGAATACGGCCAACGCGAAGGCGCACAAGCCAACCAGAAGCAACGCTAAGCTCCTTCCGCTCTGATTGCACGCACCATGTCAGTCCAATAGCAAGCACACTAGACGTAGCAGCCTCTCTCTAATCAACGCATACACTATCCTCTCCTGAACATCACTCTTGTCACAACCACACGCCCTCAACTTCTTTGCTCGTGCTTCTGCTTACACATTGCTTGCTGTGTTCAAGAACTAAGTCATGCTTCCTTGTCTCGGACATGTCATCCTTGGTTTCCGGTCTCTAACTCTCCAAGCTCCACCCCAGTTCTATGCTCCCCTTGTTCGGCTTGTCTGGCTTGCAACAGGTCGAATGATTGAAGTTGCCTCAGGCATGGCATCGCATCCTCATGAAACATACATCTACTTCTATCTATCTTCATCTCCTCTTCCTCCCTCCTCTCCCTCCCCATCCCGCCCCCCTCCTCCTTGCCATCCATGTGCTCACCATGCTGCCGTCGGCGAAGGGTCGTCTATCCCACCGTTACGATCGTTACATTTCCTCCAGAATCGAGACCTGACCGTTACAGAAGTGGAGTTCTACCGTTACAATTACCGTTCTATACCGTTATTTGTGAAGGGCCACACGCCATCATGGCGTCTTGGGGGGGGAAGACGGCGGTGGCGGCGAAAGTGAAGAAGATGGCAGAGGAGGTGACAAGGGACAGGAGAGCGATCGCGATCATGACGATGACAGCGATGATGCTTGTTCTCTCGACTTTGATATTCTTTGCTGGGTTTGACACGCTGCACTCTGTGGTGGAAGTACAGCAAGGGGGTAGGGGGAGCGGAGGAGGGTTCAACTGGCGGGCATGGAGAGCTCAGCAGCGGAGGCTGATGAGGCGTTTGGATGAAGTTGAGAAGGGGGTGGATGCGAACAGCGAGGATGATTCGAAGTCAAGAGACATAAAGTCCGTCCTCTCCAGTCTCAAGGACACACTAAGGCCACATCCTATGCCCCACTTGAACACAGTCCCCATGGATCAGGAACTTGCTATCCTCAAGGTCCACAAGCAGATGAGGACAGAGAAGAAGTTTCCCAAGGACAGAATAGAAGGAGCAGGCGACGTGACGGGCATCGTTGCTGAGCAGGACCGGGCGGACGAAAGGAATGCGCTCATGGAAGGGGATGACGCGGGTCCAGACACCAAGACCAAGCATCTCTTCGAGAACTGCGAGGATGGTAGCTTGACAGTGGAGGATGCAGAGCTTTGCTCGAGGAAGGCGCTTGCGATCAAGATGCTCACGCATGCCGCCGTCCAGTCGCAGCTGTCGAACACTGGAATGTCGCCGATGGGCTCCAAGTCGGAGCCATCACTGCAGACGATGGATCTGATGAACGATGCCACCAGTGAGCTCATCAAGGACGCGATCGTCGGGAAGGAATACCTTGACTTCTTGCATGGAGCGCCGGCAAGAGCTAAAGGCGGAGCAAGGAAGCATCTCAAGAAAGCTTCTCACTCTGCCCAGAGCCCATCGGAGGAGAAGGACGAGGCTTCAAGCAAGACGTCTGTGCGTCGTCATGTGACCAAGAGCGATGCCTTGCCGAAAGCCGAGCCTGCGCATCCCTCTGCGCCTTCAGCTCACGATGCTTCGGGTAGAACTCAGTCAGCCCCTTCGTCGCCCTCAGTCGATGACTCGGAGAAGGGCGAAGCCAAGAAGACTGCAAGAGATTCTGCTGAGCATCACGACCTTAGCGCCAAGAAGATGTCCTTGCACGGTGATCTTCCTGTCTTGGCGAAGATTGCCGATGCTGCCAAGATGGCCTCGAAGCACTCAGATGCAAGCAAGACCTCAACGCCAACAGTGGACTCCAAGGTTCGCCTGGAGGACCTTGAGAGTCAGATCTCAAGTGAGGAAGACAAGCTTGCTAAGGAGAAGATGGAGTTCACCAAGGCGATGCTGAAGCGGCAGATCCAACTGCAGAAGGAATTCTCCAAGAGCATGAAACAGATCCATGAAGGTCTTGACCTGGTGGACGACTTCGGGGGTGCCAAGTCTTCTGTTCTGATCCCGCCAGAGCCGACCTTGTATGGCAGCAACAGTCTCCAGGTAGGTGCAACGGCTAAGAACGCCGCGAACCCGTCGATAGCAGCGGTGATGAATGCAATCAAGCAATCTTCGCTCTTCTCAGTTCCAAAAGTCAAGGATAACCAAGGAAAAGGGCATCACGTCTCCTTTGAGGATAAGGAGAAGCAGGTGTTGAAGGACGCCTTGGATCGGCAGTTCGATGAAGTCGCTTCTGACGGCTCGGCGAGTGACAAAGTGCGGGAGAACCACTGGCAGTCTCCGAGCTTCTCGGAGTTAGAGCCTAAGGAAGATATTCCATTCCATGCACACAAGTCCAAGAAAGCGAAGCTGAACCAGCAGAAGCTGCGGCTTCTCTCCAGCACGGTGGCCCCAGGTTCGTCACAGACACACGTGGGGCCGGCCACGTACCGAGATCTCTCGACCAAGGCCACGAAGTATCTCGACGAGGCGCTGAGCGATGGATCGCCGACTTTGAGTAAGGCTACGAAAGACGCCATGCTCGCAGACGAGAAGAGAGGGGGAGCGACGGTGAGTAGCGGCATGAGCCAGAGAGATGAGGACTGACGTGTTGTGCTGCAGGCCGAGCTGAACGATGCAGAGGAAGTCCTGTGCACGGTAGCGAGGCTGAAGAAGGGACTGTGCTCACATCGGGTGGGAGGCAGGAGAATGCAAGGAAGGGGGTTGAGGGAGAGGAATGTGGTCAGGGCGTCGCCGTCTGTCGCTACTCTGGCTGGGGACGTTGCGGGGAACATCGAGAAATTCTTTCACAAGAACGGAATGACAAACTAAACGTGTAGAAAATAAACGGAGAAACCAAACAGCAGGGGTGCTTTTAGGATTGAGCAAGTGTTGTAGGCAGGGCAGATTGTCTTAAAGGAGGAGGATGCGGAGCGGGGATAGAGGCGGGTACATTGAAGAATATCACAAACATTGCAAGCTTGTCACACAGCAAGCTCTTGTCAAACAGCAAGTTTTTGTCAAAACAGAACAGATTTATGTAAAGAATACATGAGCGTAAGGGAACCGAGAGACTAACAAGCAGATCCTTTCTCACACCCCTCAAGGTCGGGTACGATGATCGCGCAGGGCGAGCGAAACATTTCAAGATTTGCCTTGTCACTTACCAGACAGGATTTCCTGTTGTCAAGAAAAGAAAGAGTTAGAGTGTGAAACAACAGAAGGGATTCAACGGGCCTCACCTTGCAGTCTGGTGTTGCTCGTGGAGTTCCTTGCAAAGGTGATGGTGGAGGTGCAAGGGTCCCAGAGGTCACATGCTCGCATGTTGTAATTGTTCATCTTGCCATCTCCGTAGAAGTTCGACGCCCAAGACTCAGGCTGTACCACAACATTTCCGATCAGAGCATGTTCAAGAACAATGCCTCTTAGCAAACAGAGTATCGTCCATCTTCATCTTCTCTCTCGATCATATCAATTCACATCAACATCGTCATCATCATAATCATACAGTTGATCGTCATATTGTTTTTTCTCCAACGAGCGTCATCATTATCAGTCTCAGGTATGAACACAACTCACCTGCATGTCGGTAAGATCAAGAGACTGCAATCTTCGGTTTGAGTTTAAATACTCAGAAATGCACTGAAACATCTGAAAGGCCGGGAGTCAGGAACTCGTTCGGAAAACAACAACTGGCAGCCTGTTGCTCCTTTAGCGACTAACAAAGACATCGGAAGGCGGGGGAGAGACGGCAGGGAGTAGGGAAGGGAGCGAGGAAACGAAATTGCATAGGGAGGATCAAAACTGTTGTGAAAGCAAATGAGGCAATGCTGATCGTGTACATGAGCTGAGCTCAGGCTGGATGGAAATGTGTGAATGAGCATGAGGTGTCCAGTATGAGTTCGAGGGAATCTGCGAAATCCTACAATAAGGGCAGGGCACTCAACAGAAAGCAAATGGTATGTGTGAATGCAACAATGATAGATGATTTGACGAAAATGACCAAAATTACTGCGCTACGACAGAGACATTTCATGAACAAGAGTTTCGCTATGAGAGTGTATGGTTGAATACGAACAAGGAACACAGTTTCAGATGCAGCAGCGAAAGTCACATAGGAACATGACTTGTCGATGGATAGTAACAATATGAAGCATTCACAACAAGAAGGAAAGCTTACGGAGGGATGGAGGGGGGAAGGAGAACAATGGTAACTCTTTGGAGGAGTGGGAGTCGAGGATGAACAAGGAGGATGACAGGTAAAAGGACACAGCCGTGATAGCGGGGGAGCACAGGAGAGGAGGATGCGATGACGTGATAGAGCATGAGAGGGCAGGGGAGCACAGGAGAGGAGGAGAGAGGGAGCGGGGGCGGGTGCATAGAGAGACATCACGGCAGGTTCCCCAAATAGAATGTAACGAACATGTAACGGAAATTGACAGTTCTGTAAAAGAAACAAAATGTTCCTTTTTTGGTTGAGTAAACATTTCTTCTTCTTCACGTGCGGTACAGGGGAAGGGAAGGGAAAGGAAGGGAAAGCACTGAACGTTACTAGCTCCTTGATCGTAGCCTCTTCTTAGCTTCTTCCTGTCTTCTCCTTCACCTCCACAAGTCCTTCTCATCGCCAGCATGTCTTCCCTCGCAGGGCCGCTGAACGTGCGGCAAGTGGAACGGGCCGTGGACGCTCTGTTCAACCACGTGCAGAAGAAATCCAAGTCTGGGGACAAGGAACAGCTCATTGACAGCAGCGATCCAGTCACTGTTGTTATTGGAATGAAGAAGATTCCGAGAACCAATGGCAGAGTGAAGCCATACATGATGTGAGTGCTGTTGTAGCTTCGTTGCGCTATGATTGATAGTTGTGTCTGTTTCAGCAAGTTGAAACACTCCATGTATGAGGCGGGGAGCATAGAAACATGCTTGATCACAAGACCCCCGCAGAGGAAGTACAAGGATCTGCTCCAGAGTCTCAACATAGACTACATATCGAAAGTGATTGATTTGAAGAAGCTATCCAGCAAGTATAAGCAGTACGAGGCGAAGCGACAGTTGTCAAGCTCCTTCGATGTCTTCTTTGCAGACGAGAAGATCATTCCAAAGCTTCCTCACCTGCTGGGTAAGCGATTTTTGTGTGCCGACCAGGCGTGTGGGCCTGACCCGGGCTTCAGGAAAAGAATTCTTTCAGAAGAAAAAGATCCCCCTGACGGTCAAGCTGGGAAAGCAGAACCTCGGCGATCAGTTCAAGAGGCTTTTGAACTCATCTCCTTTCTTCCTCGTGAGCTTTTGTTCTCCTCCTCCCCCCCAACTCTTGTTTGTGACGCGTTTGTACAGGCTGAGGGCATGTGCTCGGTGCTCAAGGTAGGACATACGGGAATGGACCGAAAGCAGGTTGTAGACAACATCATCGTTGGCATGGACTCGGTTGCCAAGCTGCTGCCCAAGAACTGGGACTTTATCCAAGCCCTGAATATCAGGACCCACGACTCGATCGCTCTCCCAATCTACAGCTCGCTCCCTGTGCGTGAAGATTGTGTTGCTGCTGTTTCAACGCCTGACTGCCACATCTGCAGACCGTGTCTACTATCACTGCTGCGCCTGCGAAGAGCCCGAAGAAGAGGAAATCTCCTGGCAAGCGTGAGGATGAGAAGGATGAGAGACCTAAGAAGGTCAAGAAGGCGGCGGGGAAGGCGAAAGAGGAGGCTGCGGACGAGCCAGCAAAGGAGGAGGAGAAAAAGGAGGAGGAAATCACCGAAACACCGAGCGCGAAGAAAAGTGCGAAGAAAGCAGCAAAGCCCGAGGTCACGAAGACGCCGAAGAGCGTGCAGAAGAAGAAGATAAGCACACCAAAGAGCACAATGAAAGCTTCAGCCAAGAAAGTGAAAGCTGCAGCTTAAGCCCGCATCAAAGATTTTTACAAACAAATCCTATCCCTCTTCAAAGGACATTTCTGCTGATTGTCTTGTTGATTTTGTAAAGTTCATATTCAACGCTCACAGTATCGAGGGATCACAGTCCATGTGCTGTAGTTTTTCCAAGACGCTCGCGAGATATTTGACCTTCACTTGGGTCCCTTGCTCTGATATATGTACATGTATCCCATCGAGATGGGAGGGTCTTCGGAAAGCGCAACCTTCCCTGCAAGCCGCACGAGGGTCACGAGAGGAGCGAGGGTGAAAATCAACTCACTGTCATTGAAAATCGTCCACTTTCCATCCTTCTTGATGTGGCAGACATAGTGCCCACAGGCGGTGTTGCTTCCAATGTGGCTGATGAAACCAACCTGAAAGACATGGTCAATCGAGGATCGGCCCAGAGGTCAGAGCACTCACAAGGTCGTACTGGGGCTGATAATCTACATTGGAGTCTGTTGGAGGAGGCTGCGACGCCTCTTCGACATCCATCGCGTCAAGTTGGTCGACTCTAGACAGCAGCCAGTCGCTGGCTCTTTGGATGTCTCCGCCGGTCTCGCGCAAAGCTCGTTCCGCATGATGTTTGGCGAAGCCCATGGAGCCTGACACACCAGCATCATACAACGAGACACAAATGGTAACAAGGTCGCACAGAGCATTTCGACGGCATCAGGATCTACTGCAGCTCCTGACTGCGCTTGGGCGCTAGGCGCCGCGATCGGATCATTGAAGTCTGGATCACCCATGTGCTGCAAGACCCACTCCATGGCGGCCTCAGCCGAAGTGTTGTTCGTGGCCAGTGCCGCACGCTTGCATCCATTCTCGCCGAAGCCCATATCCACCAACTGACGAACAATGGCTTCATCTGGAACGGGCCCAGCTGCCGCCGCCGAGCTAGTGGCATCCTCTGGCAACAATTCTTCGCCAGGCTGATGTCCTTTGCTGCGGAGAGACTCGAGGTCCAAGGTCTCAGGAAGCGTGATCATGGCATCAAGCTTCTTTGGGCGCCAGTCTTCTCCCAGCACGTACCTGTCATCGAAAACTCTCATTGTCATGTTGTATACCATGAGATGCTAGCTGTACCTTCTCATATGAATACAGAGATACTTGGGGAACCTCTTGATTCGGGTCGACTTTGTAGCGGAACCCTTTGAACCAGTCGCTGGTGAGAGGTAATCCTCAACGATCACTTCCTTCATGTAGCTCTGCAAGAATCGTGAGCAAAGGTCAATGATCCACATCTAGGCCCATCGCGGGCCTCACAACTTACCGAGACACAAGCATCGAACGGGATGTTGGCCTTGACTGGTTCTTCCTTGTCGGCTTCAGAGATTTCATTCTTCTGTCGTTTTGCATTTCGCTCCTCATAGGATTGAACCTATCGAAGCCCAACATGATCAAGTAGACACTCTCGAAGGACGTAAGTTCTACCTCGTCTTTGTTTGTTGCAGCGTCGAGAGGGATCAACAATGATAGCTGCTTCTCCTTTGCCTGAGTATACTTGACCTTCGCAACAAACTTCAAGACTTGTTAATGAGACCTTGAGGGAAATACCTTTCCACTCTGCTTGCACTGGAGTCTCTCCTCGATCTCAAACTCAAAAAACTTGGAGATGAGTGGCTCGGATCCTTTCTTGGCTCTCTCGCCCAGCTCTAGTTTTTCAAGCAAATGTTGGTAATACTCAAAGGCATCTTGCTGATTTCCGGTGCTGAATTCTGGATGTCCTTTGCCAACAAGAAATTTGAACATTTGAGGATTGACGAAGGCTCCTTCACTTCCTTCGACAGGCTTGCTGTATTTCTCTGACAGCAAGCCAGTTCCAAGTTTGGCCGTTTGCACCAAGATGTCGTCAGCACTTGCACTCGACGACGTCGATTGGAAAATTTCAGGAGCCCTAGGTATCAATCAATTGAGCTTTGCTAGAAAGGAATATCTTACTTCTTGTAGAATCGTTCTTGGAAGTCAGGCAGCGAGAACAAGACCTGGTCCATACAATGACAAACGCACTGTTTCAGCCAAAAACAGCAAACCTGTACAACGCTGTTGACATAGCAGCTATTGCCAAGATTCTTGAGGCCAACAAATCTGCCAAGCTAACGTTATTCTGTGATATATAGATCGTGTCAGTGTTTCACCCGGGCCCAGAAAGTGTTTGCAATTGCTTTCCAGATTCACAAATCTTATCGAAGTCAAACTTGTTGTTCATGTCAATCTCCATCTCGGCAATGGTCTTTTCAGTCTTCTCCATCTACACACAGAAGTAAGTTGTACTCCTCCACCTCGATCAATCCATTTCGAGAGTGACCTGCATCATGTTAATGCCCCAATGTGAAAGATGCTGAGCAAGTTTGGGATCCTCCACCTGAAAACTGTGAATCAAGCATGCAACCGTACTACGGACCATACCATATCGTCTTCATCTGCTGCGTAGCTGTACACATCAGCTCCTTTGGCTGTGATCGTGCCGAGCTTCACAACCAACGGGAACTCGTTCCCTAGTCTTTTCTGCTCGTAGTAATGGTTGAGCGCAGCACCTGTACAGTCCATCAACTGCCATCAAGGCCCCATACAAGTGAACCGCACCTGTTCCTCCGGTCATCTGCCCTGTAGCATCCATCTGAGCACGTCCAGAGCCGATGTGCCCATCGGAGAGGTTCAGCCACAAGTTCTCCGTCATTCCGGATTCTTCGCACTTCCATGTCTTGGGGTCGGGGGAGATCTTCTTGCCGTTGTTGACCTGGACCAGGCTGTCTGCGTACTTGGAGACTTGTCTCTTGTCCTCCCAGGCCATCACCTGTCCAGAGTCAGCTCTCGACTGAGAGCTTAAAGAACCCGGGGAACCTGCGCTTCGTCCTCCGTGAGGTCACTTGCCTTAAGGATGCCGTCCACAACCATGGAGATCAGTTCGGGCAGCTGTCACACACGAATCATCTACGGATCCTAAACAATCCAAAGTCAAGTCACCTCCTGGTTGGGAAGGGGAATCAGTATCCTTTCAGGGAGCAGCGCGAGGAAGTTGGTCTTCTCGTACTCAAACTGCTCCTCGTCGACCTGCAAGAGTGCAGGTTCATTCCAGCACCCCTAGCAGCAGGAGATTCAACCTGGAATCCTCCCTCCACTCCGATGGCCATCTTGGTCGGGGCCTCCGCATCCTTAGCCTCCTTGGGCTCTTTGGGAATTTTCTTCCAGCGCATGTTCAGGTAGAGCGGGAAGTCCGAGCGCGCAAAGTCCAAGTCCACGAAGCTGCTTCCAAACCCCTGGTAGTTCGACAAGCTGACAAAGAGTCCGTCTGGAGACTCTGGCGTGTCGAAGCTGTAGATACACTCCACCTTCCTAACCCGATCACCATGTCCTGGCACCTAACAAGGAAACTTTGTCAAGAGACATTCGGCCGCAAAGGCGCACAGGCCATGGCAACCTTGAGAGAGCTCAGGTGTTTCCTGATCTTGGTCAGAATCTCTTCGTTGACCTCCTTCACTTCGTTCCACGCCTGCTCCATTCCCCCGTCACCCTCCCCTCCTCGCTTGTACATTTCTTACCTGCATTGAGCCGCTTGACGTGTCCTTCTTTTCCCGACAGGGGTGACCACCCCTCAACTGCATCAATTTTCTCCTGCAATATTTTAAAAGTTCAATAATATTTCAGTCAATTACAATATATAAACTTTAGTTACCAACACTTTTCCTATTACCACTTTCCACCACCCTCGCACTACCCCACCCTCTGAATAAAAAAACATGGCAAAGGACAGGTGGCAAGACCTGCTATGGCAGAGATGTGGAGGCTTAACGAGCGGCATGGCGGCGCCTGAAACATGACAAGCATGAGATGCGGCGAAGATTCTGACAGAATGCGGAGGAACACCGAAGAGATGAACTGGTTGAGCACGATTGAACAAGGAGGGAAAGCTGCATCATGAACAACAGGGATTTCTTTACGAAAGTAGGAGGGAGAGGAGAAGGGGGGGGAGGAGGCGAGGTGCAAACAGCGAAAATGCTGGGCGGGGAGAAGATTTTCTACGGCACAGCATGATCTCACCTAGCATGAATGATCTTCTCCTTCTCCTCCAGCTTTTCAGGCCTGGGTTCATTTCGTGGAAGAGACGGCCGCTGCGTGATTATCAATTTAGACATTCGGAACGAAGCCATGGTTGCGAAATCAGCCATGAGATTCTTGATTGTTAATATGTTGTGTCTATGAAAGAGTTGTTGTAAAGTATTGTGATGGAATGAACAAGACATCGAGAAGATGTATGGCAACGTAGTATCATGTGTTCGTCACCTGCTCGCAAGAGCATTGCCGAAAAGCATCATGAAGATGAGGACTTGGATGGTCAACCATGCTCGAATACCTGGAGACAGAAACCTTCACACCCTCCTCACTTCCATGGAGGTTCTCACCCGATACCGTCATCATCGCACCGAACTACTTCACGTGCACCTCTGTTCCTTCATATCGGCCTCCCCCCATGCTGCAAACAATATATCACACCGTCAGGCTCTGACTTCTTCCTCCCTCTCCTCTCTAGTGTTGTTCCCATTCCTCTCCCCTCTCTTCTCCCACCCTCCCCTATCCGATCCACCCATTCCCTCACCTCCGCCTCCACTGGTCGCTTCCTTTCACCCTCCTCCCCCTACTGCCCCCCACAAGAAATTTCCGGCTGAATTTCCCGCCATCCATGCATCGCAGCATCCTCCGTCCTCCGTCCTCCCGCCGCTGAACCCTATCCTGCTACCTTCTCCTCGTCGCTCCTCGTCGTCGCTCCTCCTCCTCGTCGCTCCTTCGCTGTCGCTGTCCTCCATCCTCCTACTCCTTGCATTCGCTTCCCCGAATCAAGAACTTGTGCCCCGGTCTCGTCGCGTCCGTCCAACCACCCAGTTAGCGTGAGAGACACGTGTTTCGCGGTACAAGGCCGCATGTTCAGTCTGATGGTTGTTGGTAGGATCTACCATGGGGCTCCTCACCATCTTGAAGAAAGTGCGGCAGAAGGAGAGGGAGATGAGGATATTGATGGTGTAAGACACTGATCTGTTTCTGCTCCCTCCCTTCGTTGATGTTCATGATTGCGTGCAGTGGGCTGGACAATGCCGGAAAGACGACTATCGTCAAGAAGTTCAATGGCGAAGATATTGACGTTGTCAGCCCAACGGTGAACTAGAGATCGTGAAGCACTTTCCTTGCTAATCGAAATCGATGTTCAGCTTGGTTTCAACATCAAGACCATGGACTACGATGGGTCGGAAGGAGGGATCCTTGTCTTGTCCGATTCTGATTGTGACGTGTACAGTTACAAGCTCAACGTTTGGGATGTAGGTGGGCAGAAGACGTTGAGGAGTTATTGGAGGAACTACTTCGAGGTGCGATATCATACGTGTTTGAGTAGCAGCGTGACTGGTTACAGGCGACCGACGGTCTCATCTGGGTGGTTGACAGTGCTGACACTCGTCGTCTGAATGATTGTGCTGAAGAGCTACAGAACCTGCTAGTTCAGGAGGCAATGACCTGTCGATGCAAGCTGCTCTGCTCTGACTCCGCGCGAGCAGAAACTCGCCGGGGCTTCACTGCTCGTGTTTGCAAACAAGAAGGATTTGCCGGGAGCAAACTCCAAGGAAGAGATTCAGCAGGTAAGTGGCTTCTTCGATCCTGGCTTGTCTTTACGACATCACACACTTGCAAGGTGCTGAAGTTGGACGACGTCACAAATCGACATTGGAGCATACAAGACTGTTCGGCTGTCACTGGATCAGGATTGGTCAGATGAGAATGCTCTCTGTATTGTACTGATTGTTGCAAAAGGTTGAAGGAGTGGACTGGATTGTGAAGGACATTGCAAGTCGCATCTACATGCTTGATTAACATGGAGGTTGGGAGGAGTTTCCTTCCATGTAGCGTTCTGTTCCATTGCATACATGCCACTGTTGAACCGATTCTCGCTTCAGTATCAACAATCTGATATTCAAACTTCTCATCATGTTCCTGTCTAGATGTCTCCAACTCCCCTCACTATTTCTTCTCCTCCCCTCCCTCATTAGTTCTTCTGTCCCTCTCCCCTTCTCACCTCTGCTCTTTCCATTTTTACCCCATTCGACACTCGCAAACACAACTTGCTCTCACATCATCTTTTCAACCTCCATGACAGTATCTGGTGATTCACGGATATTCCCTGAAACTGAATCGCCAATGTCTGGAGATTTCTTCCTTGATTGTACAGCAAGCAGTATCTCAGTACAGTGGGATGATTTAAACCAAAATTCAGTTCAGCAGGACGCGTTGATATTTACAGACTCATCCTTGCAAGTTTAAATGGCCTCAGCCTCATTCTCCCTGAATCTCATCCGCTGTCTCCACGTCTATCAGTGATGTCAGAAGAGCTCGCAAGACCAACGACTGCGGGCAGGCAGGAAGGCAGGCAGGCAGGCAGGAAGAAACCCAAGGAAGGAAGAAGCTCACCGATCACGTTGGTGAAGAGAAGGAAAGCGACCTGACAAGTTTCTAAGCTCAGATTCGAACTCTTCTCACATCTCCACTCACTGTCACAACAACTCCAAGAGCAATGAAGTCTCTCGTTCTCCGGCGAACAGCCTGGCAACCAACGATGACTCATCAAACATGCCCAACGAGGGTCTGTACCTTCTCCTGCGTTGACAACTGAGACTTGGCACTCTTTGGATTGGCATTGGCAGCATCCGCCTGTCCAGCATGAGGTCGCAGCTTTTAAGACAAGAACTTACAGCTTCAAGCTCGGCAGGGTCTGGAGGAGGAATCCGAGGCATGCTCATGTAACCCTTTCTAATCCTGTCTACGAAACCGCACAAGTTTTGATACTTTCGCAGCTGCTTCTTCAGCCTGGCTTCAACCATGGGGGCATACCTGGAGCAAGAACAGTCAGCGCAAGGTCCCAGCCTTTGATCACAAGTGACAGTTGTGGCGCGAGGTGCCCGAAGACAACAGCGTCCAACGACGTCGGAGTGCTCCCGAAGAAAAACATTTGATCCCTTTGATGCAACGTGCTCAGCTATTGTCTTGATGACTTTGCAGTCTCTCACCCTAAGAATGACGACAACGCGCTGTAGCAAGCATCGGCCTGGCAAGAATGTCACTGGGGCTATGAACGCCTATCATGATCTCCATACTCTCTTATACAGTGCTTCCACGTCCTCGTGAACGCTGAAGAAAAGCAGCTCAATTCATTGTTTGCAGGTTTGACAATGCCCCCCACCTAAGCTTGTTCTTCATCCTCCCCTTGACTTGCCACGGCAAGATAACAGTAGCAGGAAACGTGGCTGATTCCGTATACAGCGGTCTTGTGACCTAGGGGGCAATCGTCAAACGACCGAGATAATGTGCTGAGATGGGAAAGCCAGCTCACATTGAACCAGTTATCGTCCGACATGTACCACTCGTGCAACTGAAAGCATGACGTCAGCCCATCTCTTTGGCTGGCAGTGAGATACCATGGCAGGTAGGAGGCAGTCTTCGATCATGGAGCTGAACGCGAACACCTGCGCTCTCTGCTTCTCTTGCAGCGGTTGGTCGATATCTGTGACCTGTAGCCCACAAGTTACCAGTCACCATGTTCCTCCCTTCCACGCTTTCACGTCGTTCCGCAGCGTCTCAACAATTTCATCAGCCCCATTCACTATCTGGTAAGGGTGGAAGAAGCATCAGAGGGCAGGGCAACAAGGCTGTAATGTTCACCTTGCCCGACACGTCTGCCACGGGCGTTTCTGCATGCAGCCTTTCAGAGAGAGGAAAGAGTGCGCCTGAGCTCGAGCCACTTACCGAAGTTGGGATCTGCCATGGACGATGGCGATGTTTGAACGTTCTGAAAATCGATCGCAGCTAGCTGTTCACAATCAAGATCAGTCTCGAGCGCATGGCTGCATCGAGACTGTCTACCTTGCAGTATGCATACGCCTTGAGGAAGTTCGGGTGGAACGTTGGGAGGCCCCAGGTGGGTGGCAAGGAGTACAGAGTTACCTTTTTCGGCATGTCCTGCATTTCGAGCAGAGGGAAGCGACATGTCAGCTGATATCAATAATCTGCTCTATTCAAGATGATACTCTCCCATCCTCTCTCCGATCTTTCACCTGCACTCGATGCTGTATGCTACACTCCTCTGCTCCGCTTCTCTCCTCTTCCACCTTCCTCTCCCTTTCTTCCTCCCCTACTCCTCCTCTCCCTCCTCCTCTCCCTCCCTCCCTCCCTCCCTCCCTCCTCCTCCTCCTCCTCTGTCTTCCATCCTCTTCCTGCCTTCCTCCTCCTCCTCCTCCTCCTCCTCTCCTCTCCCTCTCCTCTCCTCTCCTCCCTCCCTCCCTCCCTCCCTCTGTCCCGCTACCCTGGTTCATCAGAAAGAGGGATCCATGCCCCTTGCCCCTCATCCCCAACCACGTTATCATCACCCTCATACCCACTAATCTTCGTCTCAACGGAAATCCCTACGGAATGCTTCGGTTAGGGACATGGGCAGGAAGGTGGAGGCAGGAAGGGCGAGGATAGCATGCGGGAGTCGGCGCCAACAGCAGCAGAGGACGCTTGACAGCTCTGCCAGAGGAGGCAGGAGTCGGGGTAGAAGAGCAGCAGGCAAGGAGTCGAGGTAGAGGCGCAGCAAGGAATTTGGGGAGCAGCAGTCTCTACACTGGACATAAGGCATGGTGGTCGAGTTGCCTGCGTTCGCTACGACGCAGGTCCGAGGGGTTGGCTCGTTCCCCAAGACCATCATGGAAGGGACCGTGAAGCCTACGACCATGAACGGGACGACGAAGAAGCTCGAGATGGGCTACACGGGGATCTACAGCGGATGCCGACCTGACACCTGCAGTCGCTACGAGGCTGCTCACCCGCCCATGAGGAACACTCTGCTGGGAGAGAGCTGGGCCAACCTACCCGTCCACACCTTCCTGTGGAAGAACACCAGGACTGAGCTGATCAACCAGATCGATCACCCGCACAGGGGAGGACGGATGGATCCGAGGCAGGACCTGACCAAGAAGAAGCAGTACTCCTGCTTCACCATCACCACTTCCGGCAAGCGCAAGCTCCAGACCCAGTCTCACACTGGATCCAGCTACCACGGCCTCATGTTCTCAGTCCGTGCTGAGCACCGGCCGCTCAGGATTACTAAGTTGCACATGGCGTGTGGTGGTAACCCCCGCCGAGAGCTCTACCGTGTGTACGTCAAGAAGGGTATGGTTCTTGACGGCTTCATGGACGCGTCGAGCTGGCAGGAGGTCGCAGCGGGGGAGGCGGAGCTACCGTGCTCTAAGGCCCTGTACGGTCTCGTCCCGTTCCCAGAGGAGGGAGTTCGGGTCCAGCCGGGGGAGGTGATGTCCTTATATGTCCACTGCCCTTACAATCAGCAAGGGGTTTGCTTCAGAAAGTTCGCGCGATCATGGCCGGGCTACCCCCGAGCTGATGCTGTGACGGACGGGAACAAGGACCTGAGGTTGGAACGTCCTCTCCCTCCGTCCCTTCCTCCTCTCCTCTCCTCTCCTCTCCTCTCCTCTCCTCTCCTCTCCTCTCCTCTCCTCTCCTCTCCTCTCCTCTCCTCTCCTCTCCTCTCCTCTCCTCTCCTCTCCTCTCCTCTCCTCTCCTCTCCTCTCCTCTCCTGACTGGGGCATTTCAGTATCTTGGTTGCCCGCGCAACGTATAGTCAAACTCCATTCGAACGGCTGTCCAAGGATGGATATGCATTTGCAGGTCTGTCACTGAGATACCAAAGAGAAAGAAAACGAATTGATGATGGTGCTGGTATTCAAGGGGAAGAATGCTTGTATGATGCAAACAGAGAGGAAGAGGAGGGAGAGGTAGAGGGAGAGGGAGAGGGAGAAGGAGAGGGAGAGGGAGGGGGAGGGGGAGAGGGAGGGGGAAGTGAACAAGAATTTTGTGAGACGGCGAAGCTGTTGTTGTTGAAGAATGAGGCACCAGATTAGAAGCTGGTGGAGTACTGATGGTGATATTCCTGATGGTGATATTCCAGGCATCATCGAGTATGATTTCATCGGGACCAAGAGCATGTTCCAGACAGCAACAGCGGCGCTGGATCAGACAAAGCAAAATCCACTAGCGAACAAGTGATCGCAATGGGAATAGGTTCATGATTGTGGTTGTGAAATTTCAGTGAAATGGGAAGAAATTTGCAATTAGTCCCAACAGAATTCATTTCGGCAACAGTTTTCATCTCGAGTTTCATTCTCACTTTACAAGATACATCACTTCATCATCACAAATAACAACAACAATCACAACCCAAGGATCCTATCATCTACACCGGCGAGCGCGTGTTGCCCATCTCAATCGCCTCCATCTCCTCCTGAGCAAGTTTGTGCGACGTTACAAGCGCGTCGTTCTCATCATCCACCGCCCGTCTGAACATCTTCCATGACATCAAGCTCTTCATCCTCGTCTGTATCGTCGAAGTCTGCGGATGCTCTGCCGAGCTGCCGAAGACATGGAGGATGAGAGCGAGGAGGAGGATGCCGATGGGGAGGAGCATTGACGCTACGATGGCAGAGGAGGAGGAGGAGATGAGGCAAAGGAGGAGACTGATCAGCCCAACAACGCAAGCGTACGGTCCTTGTGTGCGCACGTGCTGCATCAGGTCACAAGAGGAGCAGAGGGAGGATAGGATGGTGGTGTCGGAGATGGGAGAGACGTGGTCGCCGAACATGCTCCCTGAGATGATGGCGCCGAGGGTAGCCAGCAGGCTGTCGTTGGCCCGCACGGGACCGTCGCCGTCATGCGCGACAGTGAGAGGGAGAGCGATGGGAAACATCAGCACCATCGTACCCCATGACGACCCTGACGCCACGCTGACGAAGGCAGAGATGAGCATGGCGGCAGGAGGGAGGAGGTTGATGGGGAAGGAAGGGCCGAAGGCGGAGGAGACGTAGGAGCCCACGTGCAGTACCGTCGACATGTTGCCGATGCCCCAGGCGAAGACGAGCGTCAAGAAGCCGACGGTGATGGAGCGGATACCTGCGACCCATGCCGCCATGCACTGCTCGAGGGTGAGGAGGCGCTGGCCGATGGTGAGAAGGATCGCCATGGCGTCTGCCAGCAGGCTCGACCAGATCAGAACTTTCGTCGTCTCAGCGTGCGAGAGGATCTCAACAGCCGACGGCGGGGCTGCTGCGTCTCCTAACGCCTGGTAGTATCGGCTGACTCCTGAGCTGATAATCCCTGAGGCCATGGCGACGAGCATGGAGAGGATGGGGATGAGGGCGTTGATGGCCCGGGGAGGCGTGTCAGGGTCTGGCTCCATGTCAGGCTCTGATCCCAAGTTGCTGTCAACCAGATCAGCCGCCTTGTCCACCGTCTTTGCTCCGAACTTCTTCCTTGCGTGCTGTTCCGCCACGAGCATCGGCCCAAAGTCCTTCCCCATTGCCGCGACCAGCATCGCCATGCTCATGGCCAGGATAGGGTAGAAGCTGTAAGGGATGGCTCCGATGAGGATAGAGAAGACGTCGTCTGAAATATTCATCTGCTGCAGCAGCTGCTGAGCAACACTGAGCTTGAACCCGATCCACGTGCTAAGGATTGATACGGAGGCAACGGGGGCAGCGGTGGAGTCCACAAAGAACGCGAGCTTCTCTCTGCTCACTCCACACGCATCAGTCACCGGCCTCATCGTTGGGCCAACAATCAGGATGCTGCTGTAATCGTCGAAGAAGACCAGGTACCCCACCAGCACAGCTATCATCTACCGCAAGTCATGTCAACTTCCTCTGCCCCTCTTTGCTTCCAGTACCTGAGCCCTTCTCGCGGAAGTCGCGTACTGCACGAAGACTTTGCCCAGCCCGAGAGCTCCACCATTGCGAGAGATCACACCCACAAGACCCGCCATGAACCAGGTGAAGAGCAAGAGGCCTTGGTCTGCCCCTTGCAGAGCATCGTAGAGGAACGTGTCTCCTGCCCGAAGGAACCCTGCGGGGCCAGTCACGGCAACAGACGTCTGCGAGGCTGAGGAGAGGGGAGGACGTACCTTCGAACGGGTTGTACGCACTGATCAAGGTCCCTCCGACAATCAACCCTGTGAACAACGCAAAGCAGACATTCTGACTGAGGATGGCAGAAAGTACGATGACAACAGAAGGGAGGAGGCAGAGAGCTCCAGGGATGGAGGGGACACTCTCGATGACCTCTGAGAACATCTCTCTTCGATGAAGGATGCCTGATCGCTCCTCCTCCTCAACCACGTTCAGACGGAAGTCCACAAAACCACTCGATGTTGTTCGGAAAGGAATTGAGGATTCGATGAAGGCAAGCCCGTTCACGTCAAGAGGCATTCTGTTCGCTTCGGTGTAAGAGCACTCCCTCAAGGATTTGGAAGTTGTGTTGGCGGCCGAGCAGTTCTCCAGCATCACAACCTCTGCGAACATCCTTTTACTGCTCGTTCCACTCGAATTTGAGCAGAACATCGAAAAGTGAATGCGCGACCGGATCTCAGTCAGCACAATCTTCGGCGTCGATGTCACATGAAACAAAGTGCATGAGACACCGGAGGCTGTACACTCTGTTGCGGACGAGATGAAGACAACGAGCAAAGCAAGCACGCAGTATCGACTTCCTGTCCTCATCGCAGATAGCTTTCACCCTGAAAGTGGAGGAGAAAACCTGAGCGCCCTTCCTGCTCCTCCTCTCCCTGCAGTCCCTGCTCCTCTTGCTCCTCCTCCTCCTTCCCTTCCTCCTCCTCCTCCTCCTCTCCGTCCTCTCATCGCTGTCTCATCTTGCCCCTTGTTCGCCCCTCCCCCTGCCTTGCATGTGCTACTCAAATCAGCTACACCTAAATCCACGGAACCACGAAAGATGGCTGACCACAGAGCATTCGCCGCATATGCCATGGCCTGAAGCGAGCAAGGCTTGCGTTGCGACCGATGCCTCCTTCATGCAGGAGAGGCTGTCGTGAAGGAGCAGCAGAAGAAAGGAGCAGGAGCAGGAGCAGGAGCAGGAGCAGGAGGAGAGGGATGCTATCCCCATGCAGGAGGACTGGAAGGCAAGATTTAGACGAGATTCCGCAAACAGCTCCGAACAAAGTTCAGCTCATTGTGAGGAAAAGGTCTATGGCCACCAGAAGGAGCATGACGAGATCAGATAAAATTTCGGTTTGAACACGCAGGGGGTTCGTGATAGAAGAAGGACCCTTGCCCTTCAGCACACTACTTATTGGATACAGTTCGCCCCCCTGCTGACCACTACGTCCTTTCGTCGTTCTTGCTGGGACCGTGGGAGAATGATGCGCTTTTAGGGAGCCATGAATTGCTGCATCCCACTTGTGTTCTTCTCGCATCTTGTACTTGTCTGAGATGTGCTGGTTCACCGTTGGATTCGAACTCATTGCATGATTGTGCTTACTAGAAAAACTTCTACTTGCAACGTTGTCATCGCTCCTTGTTTGGTCGATGTAGCAGCTTCTTTGTTTTCCATCTTTCTCAGTGTGTATGCTCTTGTAGCCCACAAAAGGATACACGGCAGTTCTCTATCTATCGCACGCTAATTACAATCCCACTGACTTCGTTCCTGTGATATGGTCGAAAGTTTTGACTGATTTTCCTTTGAACAGTCATGATCTCAATCAGCGATTCTCGATCTGCAGTCAGAACAGAAGTGGTTGCTACAATCTTGCTGCTCTTTGCCATCTCTCTCGCGGCAGCAATACCCGTTGAGCTTGCAGGAGGTAAAACTTGTGAACAAACCTCGTTTCCTCCTATGAGCCGATCGCTTCCAGGCAAGAGGCACGTCAGATCCAACTCAACAGCAAACCCGCGGGTACACATCGCTGTTACCATCACTTGCCTCACCCGCTCTTGTCATGCGAGCAGGAGCTCAAGGTGGAACCGTTCGCATGGAAGATGTGCGGCGATCCTTCGGACCCGTTCCAGGTTGCAAGCGCGACAGTATCTCCGTAAGAGCGAGGAAAGTACTGGAGGAGGAGGATGACTGTGAATCTTCAGATGGCCGATCAGATTCAGCAAGGCCAAAGAAACCCCCATCACCATCTCTCTCGATGGCTACCTCAACACTAGTGTCGGTACTAGTGACTTGGTTTCTACCTTGTGCGCTGACGAGCTTGAAGTGTCCGGCACCCTTGAGCTCGGGATAAAGAAGAAGCTGCCGTATGTTGAGGTCTGGGTAAGTCGGAGCGCAAACGTGGGTGAGAGCAACAGCGCTGAAGTCTCAACGTGCAGGAAAAGATTCCGTGCATCGAGGGATACGGATCCTGTGTTTACGACCTGTAATCGAGATGGTGTTTGTGTTTGCAATGATGACCTTTCTCTATCGCAGCTGCTCTACACTACAGAATGTCTTCGGAGTCTGTGACGTATGGTTCACTGAGCATGGGCTCCCCTGCGAATGTCCCTTTAACCCCCAGGCAAGATTCAGCTCTTCCTTCTCCTCTCTCCTCATGCTCAGCGCAGTCATTCACCGTCTTGCCATCGACTCTCAACCTTCCTGAAGCCGGACCAGACGTACCTGCATGGCTGTTCGATGGAGACTTCCAGATCGAGGCTCGCTTTCTCCTGAATGAGCTGGACCCTCAGCTGACAGAGTTCCAGGTCATCATAAGAGACTCGGACGGCAACCGGGTGGCGTGTGGGTGGGTACAGCTTTCTCTGCTGATTGTGAATAATTGATCATCATGGCATCCTTGTCTATGTTCTATATGTATTCCTCATATATCCCTGCAAACGTTGATCCCTCTCATCCATCTCCTCCTACGCATCAACCAGTGTGTCACCCATGTAGCTCCCGACAAGACTCGCTGCCCGTGGGGTCATGCGTGCACATGCGAGACTCGCTATGAGACATGCAAGGTCGATGATCGAAGAGCTTTACTACCCATCCGACGTATACTCGGTATGCTAGCTGCTGCTTGATCCGCCTCACTCGATCAGCTTCGTCATTCATCTATGCTCGCAAATACACAAAACACTTACACACACACCTATGTACACATACACACCAGCAAGCAAGCACGCCATCCCTCCCCCTACCCCCCTCCTCTACCGCCTCAGCCCCAGCGCTCCTAGCACCGCCCGGCTCATGTGCCGGCGACACTCGAGCTGCACGCTCACGGGATCAGCCAGGGGCTTGCGAGAGGCGGCGGGGACGATGCGATGGGCGAGGAGGTCGCGCTGGGCGGCGAGCTTGGCGTCGACGAGGGAGGAGGTCGAGGCGGCGGAGGAGGCAGAGGAGGGAGTACGGGAGGAGAAGGAGGGCATGGCAGGAGGCTGAGACAGGGGCGGACTGGACGGAAGGAGGGAGGTCGTGCAACGACAGGACGGCAGGGCGCGGGAGAAGGCTGTAAGAGAAGAGAGGTCGGTAGCGAGGGAGGGAGGACGGAGGGAGGGGCTTATATAGGAGGAGAGGGAGGCGGAGGGAGACGGTTGCTGTTGACCACGCAGATGCTGACGGAGGACAGGAGGGCTTGAAATGACGAGGCTTGGAGCCGCCAGCCGGCAGCCCTTACGTCACCCTGTAGTAACGTAGGTCTGAGGGGATAGGAGATCAGAGGGGTCAAGATAGAAGATCGGGTGGTTCCGCCCGCCGTCAGCTAGTCGTCCGCCTGTGTCGGAGATCGCGGGAGATCGGGGGCCTGGTGTAAAGAGCCCCCTCCTTATCTGCACAGGGGGTCAGTACACAGACGGTATCACTGGAGGGGTGGGGGTTTCCTATCCGTACGGTCTACCGCCAGTAGTAGATGCCTCGCAGATGTCCGTGCTAGTCAAAACTACGACAAGCTCCCGTTGCTCAAGGTGACGTTGCTGGGGGGCCGAAGGCTCGTCATTTCACGGCCTCCTGTCCTCCTTTTTTTCTCCAACACGGACAAGCCCGAAGACAAACTTCAACCGACTCGATGCGCCTCCCTCCGTCCTCCCCGCTTACGCTATATCAGCCCCCCTCCTCCCTCCCTGCTCTACCGCGCCCTGCCGTCCTGTCGTTGCACGACCTCCCTCCTCCCGTCCCTGCCTGCCCGGTCTCCTAGTCCGCCCCTGTCTCAGCCTCCCGCCATGCCCTCCTTCTCCTCCCGTACTCCCTCCTCTGCCTCCTCTGCCGCCTCGATCTCCTCCCTCGTCGACGCCAAGCTCGCCGCCCAGCGCGACCTCCTCGCCCATCGCATCGTCCCCGCCGCCTCTCGCAAGCCCCTGGCTGATCCCGTGAGCGTGCAGCTCGAGTGTCGCCGGCACATGAGCCGGGCGGTGCTAGGAGCGCTGGGGCTGAGGCGGTAGAGGAGGGGGGGTAGGAGGAGGGATGGTGTGCTTGCTTGCTGGTGTGTCGGTGTACATAGGTGTGTGTGTGAGAGCGAGTGATTTGTGTATGAGCGTGTATACGCGTGCGCGAGAGCAGAGAGAGGAAGGAGTGGTTTTGTACAGGTAGCTTTCTGTCATCGCAATAAATGAGAAACACGATTATGTGCTTGGATCTCTGCCTTGGCTCATCATAGCTGATCACCTGACTGCAAGCGCAGACGTGTGAAAGCATGGGTGTGGGGATCGGATGTCGATGATGAGGCTTTGATGAGGGATGGTTGTGATAGCTGACGATGGATCGAAGTCGAGCACGAGCGTACACAGAACAGCTGCTGACGTTCTGCAGCAACTTATCGGGCACATCGGTGCGAGATGAGTTTCAAACCTGGTATGCTTTCTTTACTATCTGTTTACTATTTCCTTTGATAATGATCTTTCTGCCCTGTAAAAAATACCAATATAGATCTGAGGCAGGCTTGATATCAATCGCACAGCAAGAAAAATGGCGGGAGAGCGAATCAGGGCCAAGGAAAGGAGAGGGGGGGGAGGGGAGAGGGCAAGAGGAGACGAGAAGAGCAGATGGAAAGGGAAGAATCTTATGCTGTGGGGAGGAGCAGTGAATGTCTGATGTTCGAGTGCGGTAAGATGAAAGTCCCTAGAACTCAAATCGACATCTAGTCTGTCGGAAGCAAGGTTGAGCTATGTCTCACGACGAAGGCGGACAGCCAGGTGAGGAGGGTCCTAGGGAGCAGGAGGAGCTCGATGATCGCGAAGACTTGCAGGAGCAGAACTCTCTGACACATCAGGATGGGGAATCGGATGACTCGTTCCAGGAATACGTAGACGAATTTGCTGGGAAACTTTCGAATCTACTGAATGATCCGAATCATTGTTTGTATGACGATTGGACATCCCCGGCATGTGTGAGACATGCGCTGATCATGCTTGGGTTCTCCTTGGACGACGATCATATCCGAAATGTACTGCTGTCTTGTTGCGAGTCAAGCATGGCCGATACTATGAACATGTTCGATGAAGTTTTCAGACCCTTCATGCAGCGAGTGGAGGATGCAGAGAACTCTTTTGTCTGGAGGGACTTGCGAGTGCATGCAGTTTACAGCGATTCTGAGGTTGACTCTGACAGTCAACAGGAGAGCCAGGTGTACCCACTTTCTTTGGTGGAACCCAGCCGGGGTTTGATTTGGAGCAAGTTTGAGACTTACTTCCGAAGAGATGTTGTTCTTGAGCACCTGCAAGATATTGTCGAGCTGGTGGCGATTGAGAGCATGACCGTCTCAAGAAGTTTTGGAGATGGCGAAGCTTCAATGGAAGAGGAGAGGTTTGCAAGTGAAATCGAACTTGAAGAGAAAGTGGAGTCTCTGGCGGAAGTCGAGAGGAAGTGGGAATTGCTTGCTAAGGGAGGGGAGGACAGTCTCATGGAGATCGGGAGGCTTCTGGTTTCCTGCGGGTTTCATTCATACATGCCGAGCTATCACGAGATGAGGCGATCGGGGCTTCGGCTTGCTGCTTCAGCAGTCCGAGACATTCATGGCGGACTGTGCCAGACAGCGTCGAAACTTTTCTTCCTGAGGGACAAGCTCCCGTTGTCAAGGAACTTTTCGTTCTACCCTCAGCCCAGGAGCGTTGTAGATGCGAAGACAAAGGAGTGCTATTGGAGCGACGGTGATGAAATTGAGGGGTTGCACCAGATTTTCTCGTCCTCCTCCCGGAACAAACTCGGCCGATGGGTTTTCAATGGCAACGAAGTCCGATGCGTCTTTGACCCGGCGCAGTTTAAAGACCTCAAGGACGTTCTAGTCTCGTACGAGATCATGGCGGAGGAGCTGCATGCGGTGAAGGAAGGCTTCCTGCCGATGTACAGCGAGTGGAGGAGATACCAGTTTGAGAGCGTGGGAGGAGCCATCCTGACTTGCCATGGCGGCATGCATGAAGTTTGCAGGAGCCTGCGGCTGAAAGGGCCGTGGGAGAGAACGCAGGAGGTCCGACGAAGAGCAAGGAGACGCGAGAGAGTGTCAACAAGGAACTGGTTTGACATCCTACATGCTGTCTATGAGCTAGTGGACGAGTCGGAAGATCCGACTTTGATGCCGTCATTGAAGACCTTGAAAGAGGAGGGATACAGGGAAATCTCCGCAGCTCTTTCCAACCGCAGCATGCTCGCGGCGTTTCCAGGTCGTCGGCAGCTGCACTCCCATGCTCCGAGCGGGAGAGAGCTTGCAGCTAAACACCTGCGACTTCGAATCAAGGAGGAGGAATCAAGTCGAATGCAAGACGACTTCTTCTCCGTTGACTTCAACGTCATTCGGCAGACGGCCTTGTTTGCAGATACAGACTTTCTAAGGCATACCATCGCCATGATCGCGCAAGATTCGAACCAGAGCGCGGTAGAGGACGACTCAGTGAATACGACGCTGTTCATTCCCAGTTACCGCGAACTTTACGAGAGGAATTTCTTCCATCTTGCCGAGCACATTCGTCGAAGGAAGGGAGGGATGTTGAGTCTTATCGACCTCTGGGATCGCCGATCCAACGCAGCACGAGGCTCTGTGACCAGTCGGCATCGGCAAGAGCGAAACCTTGTACAGCCGTCGGTAACAAAGCAACCTACCAGCCAGGTAAATGGAATAGTGCAGACGTTGTTGAGAATTTATGTCTGAGTGCCGTACCACAATCTCTCTTGCGCAAAAGTCCCTTGTTTGTTGTCTCGGACATGTCATGTTTCTGTACAAGTCAAAGAGACATGAGAGTATGTGTGGGTGTGAAAGTGACGTTGCAATCAGGACAACGAACTCGCCTCAGCAGTGCAGGCTGGGCTGCTCTCATTGGATGACGTGTCAAGACTAGAGCAAGAGCGGCAGGGAGGCAGAGGAGCGTCAGAGGAGGAGCAGACGCTCAGGTTACCTTATGTCTTCAAGGTGCTTGACGCAGGGCCGAGGAGGAGAAGGAGAGCAGATGAGGAGATGGGTACATGGCGGCTGTCATGGTACCTTGAGGAGACCTGGGTGGTGATAAGAGCGATAGAGGACCTCTCCTTCGAGCTGCGAACTTTGGATCGCCTGCCAACTTATGCAGAGATGCGGGATCACGGGTGGGGAGATCTTGCTGACCACATTCTCCGCACGCGCCACCGATCGGACTGTCCGAGGTCAGGGAGTTTTGATGATGTTGACTACGCACGAGAGTCTTGCTACTGCGTGCAGCTCATGTTGACTGACAAGCTGAGGCTTCTGGCTGTGAACGAGCAGATGTCGCTGGCTAAGGAGGGAGTGGTGACCGAGCAGGAGGTTTTGGAGAGTTCAAAC